GTAAGTGTGCACTGAGGGTGGGAACCATCGCTATGCCGTGTGCATGTCTGCGGTAAGTGTGCTCTGAGGGTGGGAACCATCGCTATGCCGTGTGCATGTCTGCTGTGAGTGTGCTCTGAGGGTGGGAACCCTCGCTATGCCGTGTGCACGTCTGCGGTGAGTGTGCGCTAAGGGTGGGAACCATCGCTATGCCGTGTGCACGTCTGCGGTGAGCGTGCGCTGAGGGTGGGAACCATCGCTATGCCGTGTGCACGTCTGCGGTGAGTGTGCGCTGAGGGTGGGAACCATCGCTATGCCGTGTGCACGTCTGCGGTGAGTGTGCTCTGAGGGTGGGAACCATCGCTATGCCGTGTGCACGTCTGCGGTGAGTGTGCTCTGAGGGTGGGAACACAGTGCAGCTGCTCCTTAGCGTGAGCCTCAAGAACCAGCCACCTGCATGGGCTCCAGCATCAGTGCGGTGCCATATCCCAGTGACATCTTCCTCAGCAGTCACTCGGATCCCCAGGCTGTGGATCCACACGATTTTTGGAAGCTGTTTAGAGTATTATTTAATTCCATTTGATAACAACAAATTTTCAGTTAACAACTGTCAACAAGAGTGGTATTTTAAAATTATGTTCTCAACTCACTCCTCAGTATCCAGAGTCATGTGAGAGCGGACAGTACACATGCAATTCTTCACTCGCAGGTTGGCTGCGACTTTCCAGGTGTCACGCCTGTAACTGAGGCCACGGCTCAGCCGAGGGACACACAGTCTACTCCTGCCTCCTGCTTCTTGGCTTCCGCCCACCGTCCTAGGATGCTTCTCGCTCTCCAAGCAGACTCAAAGGTGTTCTCAGAGCCAGCTCTGCCCAGGACCCACCTTCATCACAGCCTCCGTGTGCTCCAGAAGCCAGCCCACCAGGGCGTGGCCCGACTCATGGAACGCGACCACCTTCTGTTCTTCCTTGGACAAGATCTTGCTCTTTTTGGCAGTCCCTGAAAGCAAGCCAGGGATGGGCTGAGGCACACAGGCTGCTCTTACCTGTGCCCAGCAAGGTCCTCTCTGCGCAGCCGCCTCCTGCAGATCTCCCCTCCCCCCACCCTCTTCACTTCTCGCGTGGCCTGGGAGGGACGATACCTCCCGACTCACGGCCCCCTGCTCCGGACCTGAGGGTAATAAATGTCTGAACTAGCTTCCTACTGCAGTCGTGTGTTGAACTTGTGCCATCTGAACGATTGGGGGCCGTCCACGCTAAGTTTCCCTGGGGACACTGAGGGGACACAGGTCTGGCTCCCAGGGCCAGGGCGGTGGTCGGGCAGGCATCCCCTGCCAGACCGTGGACACAGACCAGACAAGAGCCACGAGGGCGTCTGCCGGAATAAGCAAGGTTCCCGTGTGAGGGATCCCAGTCATGGATCAACCAGGCGCTAGGCCGCCCACCAGGTAAAGCAGCAGCAACCCGTGAAAGGCGCACTGTGAACCCAGGTCTGGCTCCCTCCACTGCCCGCTGAGGCAGGAGTTGCCCCACGCTCTGCACCGGACCCCAGTGTAGCCCGGGCTCTCAAAACACTCAGAGAGGCCGGGCGCGGT